TTTCTCATGTTATTCTGATGAACTTAATTCTAATTTATCTGATCAGAGAGTGTTTATAATTCTTCTACTTCGTGGAACTTACTGATGCCTTGTCACCTAACAATCAATATTAAGTGTTCCATCTGTGCTTGAGAAGTTATATTCTCTATTATTTAGATATAAAATTTAGTATATATCTATAAATCTATCTTATTGATTATTATTTAGGCATTTTTATTTATTTTTGCATGAACTCACCTGTTAGTGTTTGTTTTCCTTCCATATCCTGTAGTTTCTGATATATAGCTTCATTGCGAAGTACAGCTTCAAGTATTAGAAGTGCCCTTCTGTGTCACACTGAATGTTTTTTGACCTGAATTCTCCTTTGATAGCAGGATTGCAACCCTGCTTTTTTATCGTTTCCATTTGCCTGGTCTGCCTTTTTCTCTTCTTTTATTTGTAACCATTCTGAGGATGCGTTGGGATGTTCAGATTCATACAGCCGCCTTTACCTACGTTCTCTCCGCCTTTGTACATTTATTTTCTAATAACTTCATCTTCTGCTTGGATGGAACCACAGTCTCCAGACTAGGGTGGTATAGATCTTTGAGTCTGGTAGGGGAGTGTTTGATGGGGCAAGGAGAGGTGGCTCGTTGTGGGGACCTGGTTGTGTAACTCACTGGCTTGCCCTGAACGGTGCTACCAGGTCCCATTGGAGTGAGGTGGCTCCCCATCGGGGCGGAACCGCCGTGTGGTAAGCACCAGCTCACGTGGAGCGCCATGGTGAGCGAGGACCACTCCCTGGGTTTCCACCCGGTTCACCAGCTCCACTGAGATCCTGTCAGTTCCTCCTGCATATGCCACCATTGTCTCTTAAAAGTAGAATCAGATTGGAGCCTCATACAAACAAATCCCTGAATTTTGCCTTGTAGGTCTGGTCAAATGTGAAGAACTAAGGAAAGCTATAAAATGGTAAAAGCTCTGGATATGTTGAGCTCTGAAAGCCCAGATGGGGTAGTGATTTGAAATACAAACATGTGGCATTTGCTTCTGGGTTATTCAGATTGAAAATATAAAATTGCTTAAGAAGTTATGACTGATATTACCATATTTTTATGAAGAGATGGATTTTACTTATTCCTTCAAACTAGAACAAGATTTATTTCTGATTATAAACAATACAGGCTTATTATGAAAAATTTGGAAACCCAAAGAGAGGAATAAGAAGTAAACTCCCCACCATAACTCACGTTGCAGTTCCCTGTGCCCCACTGGGACAGCGCACTGGCCCATTCGAGTGTTTCTCACAAGTGACATCCTGGCAGACTCGCTTCTCTCTTGTTCATTAAAGAGAATCGATTACAATTTTTTTCCACTTAGTAAAGGACTAGTAAAAATACCGCTTCACTGAACAGATTGTCATAATTTTGGTGTTTTTCCCACAGAAAAATATGAAGATCTAAGTTCTTCGGATGAATCCTACCCTGTTCCTCAGAGACAGAGGCCCTATAGGAAGAAGGGCCTCAGTATCCACGAGGGGCCGCGCGCCTTGGCCAGGATCACGGCCATCGGACTTGGAGGCAAGACCCCACGGCCCAGCTGTGGTGAGCAGTCCACACTTCCTAGTGGCTCTTTGCTGTCGCATCCAAAAATTCTGTCTTGGTGAGAGCAGACAAACTCTCAGCTCCTGAAACTCTCAAACTCTCTGGGCCCCGGGCTGCTGGGGGCAGGTAGCTGGGCTTCCCATGCTCAAGCAGTGAGACTCAAAACCATTTCCAGTGATGGAATCCATTAGTCATGGGCTAGCTCTCAGTTTTTGGTTCATCTCCTTGACTTTCCATTGGTTATTAGAAATAGAACTTTCTCTTCTGTAGCAGAAATGTAGCTAAGCTCAGATTCCAGTCATCAGATATGTGGGGCAGCTAGTGCAGGGAAGATGTGAGGTTTGACCTCCCACAGCCCTGGCTCTGCCCCGTCACCTGGGCACAGCATCGTGACGCATTTGCTGGGCCGAGCTGGATGTGCCTCCAGGGGCAGAAGGCCAAGGGAAGGCTCTGCTGCTGTCTTCTCAGGGGAGATGGATTTGATCCTCAGGCCCTTCCGAGAAGGTACACTTGGTAGTGCTAGAATCCTGTCTCCGAGTTTCCAGATTTCAGTTTATTCCCAAATTGTCAGCCTCTCGGTGTTGTTTTTTCAGAGTGCTGGGGGTCCAACCATTCTTTAGGCCAGCTGGGTTTGGTGCACACTTTCTTTCTGGCCTTTCCAGGAGATCAGCCTGGGGTGTGAGTTGTATCTTCCTTTGATGCCTGTCACCTATCTGTGACAAGGCCAAGGCTGCTGGTCCAGCAGACTGGGTGGATGGGCCCTCCCCGGAGGCCTCTCTGAGGCCTGGGCCTGGAACAGCCTGACGTAGTCAGAGGAGACCATGTTGCAGTTGAGGGTACCTGAGTAACTCACTTCCCTTCTAAGACTCCAGGAAGAACTAAACTTTCTGGTTTGTGTTTTACCTTTTCTACTTGTTTTCTTATAGGCAGATCTAGTCAACGGTTATGTAATTTTACATTACTGCTGTTAAATTTTAGCCAAGGGCCTTTTCCCTTCACGTTCAGCCAGATCTCTTTGGCTGGCTTGGCTGGCCCGAGGACGACTACCTCTCGGTGCCTATGTTTAAAAAGGTCACAGGGACATAAAGACATCTGGTGGATGGGCGTGTGTGTGTCTGTGTGTAGCAGGGGGGAAGGTCATTACAAGTTTCTAGCTATTAATGAAAGGAATACCTAGTGGTATAGTTTTTCTTTGGCTTAGGAATCTGTAAATACAGCTATTTCCTACTTTCCCACTTGGAAAAGAGACAGCCTGGTGCAGTGGAGAGGACCCAGGCTTGACCTGGACACCAGCCCTGGTTCCACCAGGCACTTGCCCTGGGACACCAGCTGGTCTCTAAAACCCTCTTTCCTCACCCACAAACTGCAAATAACAGCTCTGGCCAGGTGCCTATGGCGCGTAGATGAGGTAATGGCCGGGCGGCTTCCTGCCTGTCTGCTGAATCCTGGGTCTCCTCCTACACCGAGAAGCCCAAGGAGGTGGCAGCAGTAGGAACGAACGTGTCTTCACCTTGCGTCTGTGCGTTTACGTGCCCCATTCTGCACACAGAACAGGTGCCTCCTCGGGGCTATGTCACCTTCAACAGCAGTGATGAGAACCCCCTGGAAGTGGAGGGCCTCTGCTACCGGGACGTCACCTCCCCCATCAATGACCGGGATGTGGAGAGCAGCAGCAGCAGCAGCCGGGGTACACAGCTCCCCACTTCCCCGCACTGCCCGGCTAGGGGCCGACGCCGGTACTGGAGCCTGTGTGCCCACCCCGCCCAGCCAGCTGGGGCTCGGCCCTGGGGCGAGTCCATCCACTAGAAAACAGGAAAGGGTGCAGAAGGCCCCAGCTCTTACAAGGAAAACTAGAGAATCTGACACAGGGCAGATGAGGAGAAGCTTCTGGTCCAGTGTCCCCCATGCAGGTCAGGGGGAGCCATTCCACACTGACAGGCTTGGCCCCTTGATTTGGAAGCCTTCTGAGGCTCTGGGGAGTCTTCCCGGGGGGATGTCTGTTGTAGGTGCACGTGCGCATCAGTTCAGCAGCTCTTCACTGACAGCCTACCGCGTGCTAGCCCTGTTCTCAGGGTGCTTGGGATTTATCAGTGGACAAAAGGACAAAAACCTGTGTCTGTGTAGAGGGGAGAGTTAGGCCAGGCAGGCAGCATGAAGCAGGAGACACCCAGCTGTTGCATGACGAGCGCCTGGGTGCAGTGGCTTAGGCCCAGGGCCCTGGGGCGTGTCCAGCAGCAGCACCCTGGGTGAGGCTCGCAGGCAAGTGTCCTCTCTCCCCGTCATCAGAAGAGCAAGAGCGTGCTTTCTGTGCCAGCCTCGGGGCCATCCGGAGCAGCAGCAGCAGCGAGGGCCTGGCCAGAGCCCAGGGGCTCAGCAGCGAGGCCTCCGTGGAGAGCAACGAGGTGAGAGCCTCCTCCTTTCTTGACTTCCTGCACCCTTTCCCGTTCTTGACATTGTGGGGGGTACCTGACATCCCAGTTAATTTGGGATGAGCAAGTCTGGTAACACGGCTTAAGTGCGTTTCTGTGCTGGGCTAGGGGGCACAGTGTCCGGGGCCTGCCCTCTCGGAGGGCGGCGTGAGCACGGGTGGCGCAGGCTGCAGGGAGCCGCCAAGGAAGCTGTGTGTGGCAGGTGGGTTGTGGGGGAGTTTCATGAAGGCTCCCAAGTCTTAACCCATGTGTGACTTCGAACACACCTCTTGCTGCAGGACTCAGATCATGCACGTAGAAGTTCAGTTCGCAAACAAACTAAAAGTTACGTGAAGACTAAGAATCGTTGCGGCCAGTGGCTTCCCAGCACTGGGATTTCTGGGGCAGTTTGTACTCCAGGATCTGTCCCCCAAACTGAGAGGTCCCCCTATTCAGGACCCCAGGTAAGGCCATTTATGAAACTGGGGGTTATGCTCTTAGAAGGACAGTGCTGTCCGTGACTGGTGAGGTGTTCACCGTGTGTTTATGATGAGCCAGGCACAGGCACAGGCGCCGCTGGCAGAACAGAGTGGTGGTGGCTTTTCCCCAGATGACCAGTGAACCTCAGGCTCAGCTGATTCCTAATGGTTAGTGGCCAGTTGCAGGGTTTGTGCTGCGTCCCTCTCCATAGAAAGGCCTTGTCTCTTTGGTGTCTGTACTCAGAAGCCTCCTTGAGCCCAGGGAGGAGAAAAACAGGACTGATCTCAGCTGCGTCCTGGAGTCGGTGACAAGATGCATTGCCGCAGAGAGCACTGAGCGCACACTGTGGAGATTTGCCGCTGCTGCTTCCTCCCTGTGCTCGCTCTGAGCGCGTTCTCAGGCATCCCAGGGGCGGCTGAGCAGCTGAGTCCCTGCCCTGTGCAGGCATGCGTGGTACAGAGACGGAAGGCGGAGGGGAGTCCCTGGTCTTCATTGGTTGAAGCACCAGCGCTGCTGCTCCCTGCAGGCTGGGGCTTTGCCACCCTCCTCCTGCAGCCCCGCCCTGGGCCACATCCTCAGGCTCGGGAGCAGGGCGCCCATCTCGGTTCCTTAAACACATGCTGGCTGGAGAGCTTGCAGTTGTGGGGCTATCCTCAGGCTGTTTCTTTCAGAAAGTAGTTTGAGGAAAATGAGAGTAATCACCTTCAAAAATGTATTCCTCCGCTAAAAACAACACTAAACTTGCAAAAATAGAAACTCTAGAGGTGAAAAGTACAACCGAATTGAAACTTTCACTAGATGGGCTCGACAGTGGGTTTGAGCAAGCAGAAGAGAGAATCAGAAAACTTGAACGTACGGCATCTGAGATGATGTCTGAGAAACAAGGAACGGATGAAGAATGAGCAGAAACTTGTGAGACACCATCAAGCTACCGGCACACACGATGCTCTCCGCAGGAGAGGAGAGAGAAGCAGGAGACATGTTTAAGGACTAGCCTGACCTTCCCAAATGTGAACAAAAACACGGAGCTCTCCATCCAAGGAGCTTGATGAACTCCCAAGTAGGATAAACTCAGAAATCTAAACTTAGACACATCAAAATCAAAATGTTGGACAAAGAGAATCTTGCAAGGAACAAGAGGGAAGTGACACATCCCAGACAAAGGGTCCCCCAGATCAGAAGCCTCATTTGCACCCTCCACAGAGCTAGCGTTCGTAAGGTGTGTGAGGAGCCATGTTCCTGTGATTAGCACCAGGCTAAGTGAGACCAGAGACGGGACGGCAGGGCTCAGAGTGTCCTGTCTGCCTGAGGGCACGGCATAGGAGGGGCAGCGAGCAGGGGCACATGTTGGGCAAGGAGGAAACGCTCTGCGCGGCCGCTGCCCCTTCTCGCCCGTCTACTCTGCCCTCCAGGACCTTGCTGCGCTGCTGGAGCAGATTGGGTGTCTCAAGTACCTGCAGGTGTTTGAGGAGCAGGACGTGGACCTCCGCATCTTTCTGACCCTCACCGAGAGCGACCTGAAGGAAATCGGCATCACGTGAGTCCAGTGGGGACATCTCTGGCCCTCACGCCCCTCGTGTCAGCCAGGCATCCTGGGACCAGCTTGAGTTCTGACTTCAGAGACGACGCTGATCTGTGTCTTCCCCGATTCCGCCTGCAGGTTGTTTGGGCCCAAAAGGAAGATGACCTCTGCCATCGCCCGCTGGCACAGCAGCGCCCGCCCGCCCAGCGACGCCCTGGAGCTGGCCTATGCCGACAGGCTGGAGGCCGAGATGCAGGAGCTCGCCATCCAGCTGCACAAGGCAGGCGGGGGGTGGCGGTGCCCACGGGGAAGGGGCAGGGACGGCAGCCAAGGTGGGAGCAAGGGTCCCAGTCCCCACAGGAAGGGGACAGCACCACACAGAGGGAGGAGTCAGTGAGCAAGCGGCCAGCACAGGGCTGGGGAGGCCCCGAGATGGAGAGGAGACAGGGACAGAAACAGACTTAAAGCCTCTGAGAGGGAGCGGTGCAGCCCGAGCCGCCGTGGTCTCGGTCCCGCATGCCGGGCCCCCTCCCAGCCTGGCCCTCCCGCCCTGCAGCGCTGTGAGGAGGTGGAGGCCATGCGGGGCCAGGTGTCCCAGGAGCAGGAGCTGCGGGCTGTGGTGGAGAGCTGCCTGCTAGAGCAGGACGGGGCCCGGAAGGACGTCCAGGCCCAGCTGCAGGAGACCTGGGCCCTGGCCCGGGATGCCACCCTCATCCTGGACCAGCTGCGGTGAGTGGCTCATGTATCAGCCAAGGGGCCTGGGGTCACTTGCTGTCCCCACCTCCCACTTCATTCGGGCACTTCCTCCCTGCAGGGCAGACCCAGGCAGCAAACAGGGCCCTTCTCCTATGCATCAGTGCATCTTCCGGGACGCTTGCCAGGCCCTCGAAGGCCAGCTGTGGGGACAGGGCAGGGCCTCTCCCCCTCCTTCCACTCAAGAGTCTGGGTGGGGGACCTCTGCCCTCACCAGCACTTGTTCCCGTGTCTGGCAGAGCCTGTCAGTCTGAGCTGTCAGCCCGAGTGAGGCAGGACCAGCCCCCTGGTGCAGCCGCCCTGGGCCCAGCCTTCCCCCACTCGGGTAAGAGCAGCGCCTGGCTCCTGGCTCCGGCTGGGTGGAGGGAGGGCGGGGCGCCTTGAGGCTGGGTTTTACGCGGTGGGCTCAGCACAGCTGTCTCGATGGACGCCCCTCTCCCAGGTCCCTAAGCGTACACAAGCCCAGCGTGGAGGGGAAAGGGGCCCTGGGGACCCAAGCCCACTCCTCACCTGTGATGGGAGTCACCTGGCCCCCAGTGATAGAAGGCATGGCCGTGACGGTGTCAAGACAGTCCCTTGTGCCACAGCCAACTGTGCTGTCCAACACCTCCAGCGACTTCAGCCTTCAGTCATGGGGCCACCCGAGGGCCCAGCTTCCCCATGGGCTGGACTCTCACACTTTCTGTCCTGGGGCTCATCCCTGCTTGGTAGTCAGTGCTTGGGTCAGCAAGCAGAAAACATTTTTGTCACAATCTTTTTGGTCTCGCAGACCCGCAAGTTGGGGAGGGGGTTGCTCAGGCATTGACAGTTGGGTGGGGGGTGTTCCGACCCAGGGAGGTTCTCCTGGTCGCAGCAGCTCAGGACAAAGGCAGGGTCTGCGGGGACACAGACCCCAGGCCAACTCAGTCCTCTGCACCACAGACTCCAAGGGCTGGCCAGCATCCCTGCAGGCCATGAGCCTGCCCGAGCTGTCGGGAGCCCTGGAGGACCGTGTGCACGAGATGGGTGAGTCTCCTGGAGGGTGGCAAGTGGCCTGGCCCCACCCAGGGACCAGACTTCGGTGAAGACTGAGCGCCCCTTTTATTCCAGAGGGAGGCAGAGGGACCCCTTCCCAGGGAAAGCAGGTTTGAGTCCCTCCACCCCAACACCGTCTGTCCACGGGGCTGGGGTCATGACCGCTGTGGGGCAGCCTGCCCAGCTCATAGCCTGGACGAGAAAGGCTCCAGGTCCCCGTTCCTAGTGCCCCAAGCTCCTCTTCCCTGCTGCCACCCAGACTTGCGGCAGAGCACGGTCTGGTCCCATCCTCAGGGCGAGCACTGTGTTCAGTGACCCAGAGCCTGGAGAAGCTGCAGGTGCTGAGCAGCAAGGAGAAGTGGCGGGAGCCCTAGCCCGGAGGGACGGTGGTGAGTGTTGCCAGCCGGGAGCCTGCGCCAACGGGGGCAGCTGCGGGAACAAGTACGTTCCCTTCCTTCCCTCCCTCCCTCTCTCTAGTCTCACCAGGGCCTTTTCTTTCAGAATCTGACGTCGGGTGACTGATCCACCCTGAAGCTGTGTGTCAGGAGTCAGGAGGGCCACGTGCAGGCGGCTGCGGCAAGCAGCACGGCCCAGGCGGGGCCAGAGGATCAGGCCCCGGGAGCAGCCAGCAGACACAAGCAGGACAGGGACTGTGGCTCATGCCAGGCAGCTTGGGCCAGCACTGTGGCAGGACGAGGGCCTGTCGCCCAGAGCCTGCTGGTAAGGCCCAGAGCTTGTGGCCTGGCCTAGCCCAGGCCAGGCAGGGCCTTGAAGAGAGAGAGTGTCCCCATACATGGGTGCCAGAGGCTTGACCTTATGAGAACTGGGGCACCTCGAAAATGTCATTTGTTGGAAAATAAAATTTATGATCAGCTGTGAAGGGCTCAGTTCTGATCACATGACATGCAGCACTGGCCAGCACATGGGGCCAAAGCAAGGGGAAAGTCATGCCAAGACCCCAGCCCCAGGGACCTGGGGCTCTGTGTGGAAGTCCCTGGGGCCCAGGCTACAGAGCACCATGCTCAGGGCTAGGCCAAGTCGGTGACCCTGCCTGCCCTGTCCCTTGCAGCTTAGGAACCTCTGTTCCAGCAGCACACAATTCCAGAGTCCAGCTTGACTCCAGACAAGCTGCTACAAAAGCTAAGCACATCCCCAGGCCCTAGGAAATATGAGTGAGCCAGGTACAGGCAGTCTGTTCCCACAGCAAAGCAAAGGACCTTCTTCCACACTTGGTGGCCCTTCTCACCCAGCTCTGAGGTGGGGCTGGGAGCACCACCTTCCTCACCAGGCCAGGTATGGGCGGTGGAAATTTTCCAACTCACCACTGGAGTCTTTGCAGACGTGGGGCTGTAGGAGACTACCAGTGGTGGCCTTCCTGTCCTCTGCTGACTCTGCTGTTGTCATTCTGCACACTAAGCCTGTGCTTCCAGACTGTCTCTTGGAGCTGCTTGCGGACTGTTCTGGGAATGAGGAAAGGCAGGTTTTCAAAGCAGAGAGATTCTATAACGGGAGCCTGACGCTGAGGATCCGGGCACAGAAGCCCCCAGCCAGGCTGCCGGCCCAGGTGCTCGGGCTGGGAGTGCCCCAGTAAACAGGCAGACGTGTGGACGCCTCTGGCCAGGGCAGTGATTCCATGTGCCCCCAACCTGGGACAGGAGGCCTGAGCCGGTTCCACTCCAAGCAGTACCCAGCACCTGAGGTCCCGGCCTCCACATCCAGGAGAAGGAAGGAGGCCCCTCACCAGCCCAGCCCAGCCCAGCCCAGCCCTGGGCCTCCTCCATCCAAAACCAAAAACCAAACAGCAGCTGAGGAGCGGCTTCATTTATTGTCTTTTTCTCCTTCAACAACTCCATACGTAGCTGGGTCCCTGAGGCCCCGACCATCCTGCGAACCAAGCCACAGTGGGGAAAAGCCACTTCGAAGCTTCACTCATAGTTCACACATTGCGAATGAGAAACACCTAACCAAGGAAATCCAATGACAACCAAAATTAACAGTATAACGTCCTACCCGAAGCTGGCTCTTCCCCAGACCCTGGGCCTGGCTCGGGAAGGATGCAGGAATGAGCGGGCCTGGACAAAGCCGCCTCCACCAGAGCAAGCCGTCCTCCGAATGGCCTGAGAGCCGTGCACCTACCGCTTGGACGAGCGAGCACTACGTGGCGAGATGCCACTGAGGAGAGTTTGAGCTTTGGGGTGGGCACGAACGTCCTGAGCCTCAAGAGCCAGGCCCAATGTGCCCAGACTGCCCACTGACCAACCTGAGAGGACGGGCCGGGTCCCAGCTGGCCCAGCCACCGCCTGATGGCTGCTTGGGACAGCGGAGATGACGAGATGCCTGCCCTCCCCATGCAGTCAGAAGGGCAAACACAGAAACGCGCTAGAAGACACACTTTCCCAGGACTCCCAGGGCCAAGTCTTCTCGGCCAGTGGGCACAGATATGGCTGCCAGTGGGGAGGGCGACAGCTGGCACAGGAACCACCTCAGGAGGAAGCTGGGAGCAGCTTCTCCAGGGCCTTCTTCTGCTTCTCTGTGGCTGCAGCCACAGCCTCAGCCAGCTTCTCCTCGGGCATCATGTTGAGCACCTTGAGGGCGAAGAGGAGCTGGTACTTGGCAGTGCTGATGAAGGCGTTGCTCAGGAAGTTGGGAAAGCCTCCGACTCGGTCCTTCTGGGTGTACAGTGGGACCCGCACAAGGCCCAGCACCTGCACAGACAGGTCAGGGTTCGAGTCCGGTCCTCCACCCAGGTAGCACACCGCTGGCAGGAGGGGCCTGAAAGCTACTGAGCCAGGGGAAGAGCAGCCAGTTTTTCCAAGGACGTGGTGGGAGACCCAGGTAGGGTCTGGCAGGGCAGAAGCCAGCCAGCTCCCCTGGAGCAGTGCAGCCCCCTCCTCCCCAAGCACACGCCCAGGCCAACCCTGTACCTCCCCTACCCTAGCACGGTGGGCAGGCTCCTGTGCCAGCTCTCCCTGCTGCACCCCATGCTCCCCCGTCCAGACCACAAAACCCACAACCCAAGAGGCTTCACGCCCCTTGCGAGGTTCCCGAGCCCTACAGTCTCCCTTTCTGCTCCTCAGTTTCCCACCACCCCAAGCAAGCACCATTTCCCCATCCCTTCCTCCCCACCGGTCCCACCCCCCACTCCCAGGATTGGCAATGGCAGGCAGCAAGGCGGATGTAACACAGCCCTGAGGGAGTCCCAGCCCCGCCCCTCCTTTCCCGGCCCCACCACAGGTCCCTCTCCCCATCCCGTAGCTGGAGACAGCGACACCCCACCCAGCCCAGCCAGGGGACCCTCAGGGGGACGTGTTACCCATCGGTGCCTTCCATGGGGCCAGAGCCAATCCCCGGGGCGGGGGGCGGGGCCCGGGCGGCGGCCCCACCTCCAGGCCGTGGTCGCGCGAATGCACCGCGCTGATCTCCACGGCGTGCAGCTGCTCCAGCGTCAGCTGCCGCGCGTACAGGTGCGCCACGACGCGGTGCGGGCCCTCGGTCAGGTGTGAGCTCAGGTAGTCGGCCTCGGTGAGGCGCAGGGAGCCCAGGCCCAGGCCCAGCACCCGGTTCAGTCCGTCCTCCAGCGACCAGAAGCGCCGGTCCACGAAGCCCCCGGGGAAGCCCAGCAGCCCGTCGAAGCGCATCTGCATCTGCAAGGGGAGCGCCGGGTCACGGGCGCGGGGTCGACGCGGCACGCCCGGCCCGAGCCCCGCCCGCCCCCGTCCTCACCAGCACCGAGAACCGCATGGGGATGCGGCCGAAGAGCTGCCCGGGGTTGGCGGCGTACAGCATGGCGTGGCACGAGTGGCTCCAGCCCGGGCCCAGGCGCATCGCCTCCACCCGGCTGATCTGCTTCAGCTCCGGAACCGCCGCTGTCGACATCTTGGCACTGGCCCCCGCGGCCCCGCCTTAAGCGCATGCGCTGGCCCGTCCGTCGCGCCCCACCAATCCGCGGGCAGCCGCGCCCCTGGGCCCCGCCTCCCCTCCAATCCCTGACTCGCGCCGGGGCAGAGACCGTCGCTGCGCTGCGACGCATCGTTGGGAGGCGGAGGGGAAGATAAGCAAAAGCAGGGGCCGTGAGCGCCAGCGCCACCCAATAGCCGCTCACCCCCAGCGGCGGCCCCGCCCACAGCCTGCGAAGACTACAACTCCCAAGATGCAACGTGCCGGCAGGACTGCGCGTCCTGAAAAGGCGGGTGCGTGCGGGACTTGGGGCTCAGGCTGTCCGCCACGAACCTGTCCCTCGGGGCCTCGAAGAGGACAGCCGGGCATCCCAGCTGCTACGCGAGCTAGCGACGTTCGGGAGGCGTCCTCTGCCACGCTCCTCGGACCTGGGCCTCGAGGGCGGCAAACTTTCCCCGCCACGCTCGACAGCTGTCAGTCGGGGCCACTCCGTCAGCCTCAGGAGAGCCGGCTGCCCGCAGTCCCCACCCAGCCGTGGCGTTAGGCTGGATGGCCAGGAGCTCTGGGGCTCGCTGGACCCAGCCAACTGGGGCAGGAGGTGACTTAAATCGGGGGGCCAGGGGCTCTGCAGTGTCCTCCAGGCCAGGGACCATATGCCAGGTATTGTTGGGGAAGCGGGAGTTTCCCCAATTTGCCAATGAGGAACCTGGGGCTCAGAGAAGGACAGGACTTGAGAAAACACACCCAGCAGTTAGTGACAGAGTCAGGATCCCACCCTGGCTGCTACCCAGTGTCTACAACAGAAAGCTACCTGATCCCGAAGGCGAGGGCCTGAAGTACTTACCCCGTGTTTGTGCTGGAGAAGGAAGTCGCCGGCCTCACAAGCATTGGAAACACTGTCCAAGGGAGAGCGATTGGGTCCCCTGAACCCCACGATGGCAAGGCTCACCTCAGCAGTAGTTGGGCACAAGGGCCACTCTCCTCTCCACAGTGGGCATGGATTTGCTGCGTGAAGGAACCCCTGCCTGCACTGTAGGATGGGCGCCCAGGGCTGGGGCCACAGCCTTGGGAGAGCTGTGCAGTCAGGCGAGCTCTGGCACAGGGAAGGCTGCCTGGAGCGGAGCTGTGCAGGAGAGGAGAGGGGTGGGCAGGAGCTGCCACTCATGTTGTTAGGTCCATGGTGATGTCAGATTTGGGGAGGACCCCACCTCCAGGCAGCCAAGCACAACCTGAGCCCAGGGGCTATGGGGTGCAGGGGGCACAGGAGGAAAGGCTCCCCTTGATGGCAGTCCTGCCTCGCCACCAGACCTCAGTAAAGGGGCCAGGTCTGTTGGGAGGAAGTGAGGAGGGGGAGCCGGTTCAGCCCATGCAAGCACCTGTGTGACGCCCTGAGCACCTCTGCCCACACTGGGACTGGGCCAGAACGAAGCACGTTCAAGAGCACTTGCAGGGCCATGGATGCCGGGAACAGCCGTTCCGTCTCCACCCTCGTGGGCTTGGGTCAAAGAGGGGCCATGGAGGCAGCTTGAATTGTTTGCAAAGGAACCTGGGCCCTCTGTGGTGGGTGCCCCGAGGCACTGGCCAGCCCCTGCTAGGAGGCGACCCCATGGGCAGGGGAGCATGGGCCAAGCAGAGGGCCCAGGGCTGGGCTCCAGCCTCCAAACCCACCATGGCTGGGCAGCCAAACCTGCTCCTCCAGCCCAGTCTCCCCATGACAGCTGCACGGTGATACTCCTCTGCTTAAAAGTCTCTGTTCTTAGAAGACAACGCTGACTACCCCTTAGAAAAACCTCCAGCCACTTCGACACAGTCTTCAGCATCTGCCCCGACACCCCATGCAGTGAGCTCTTTCCCACACCAGGCTCGCTCCTACCGCCTCCGCACTGCCCCAGGGCGGCTCTGCTCATCCTCAGGGCCCCACTTAGACATCTCCTCAGAGAAGCCTCTCCTGACCACGCGGCAGCACTGAGTCCCTCACGGGCTTCATCTCATCACCCTGCTCACTTTCTTCCTGACAGTAACCAAACCTGGAAAGACTCTGATTACCTGTTTCTCACCGCAAGAATGCAAGCACCCTTGCAGGGCCCCTCCTGACACACAGCAGGTGCTGTGAACACCTGTGGGACACTTCCGTGACAGGGATGGGGACTGGAGGGGCAACCGCACACCAGGGGGCCTGGGGCTTTTGTGCCACCTCTTCAGGAGACTGAGCCAAATCCCAAGGGTTTGCCTTCACTCCAACCAGAGAATCAACAAAGATGACAATGAAAACAACGGTCAGGAACAGCAGCCGGTGCACTGGTCACCCGCAGGGAGCTTCAGTTATCTGCTTTAATCCCGCCCTGGCTTGGAAGCTGCACCATCACTACCACCTACACGTGAGGAAACCGAGGCAGAGGCCACGTCAGGGTGTGGCAGCCACCATGAACACTCGGTGGCCTCCTCTGGATCAGGAAACAGCCACAGTGTGCCCAGAGGAAGGAGCGGACAGGATATTGCTGCATGATTTTATTACTATAAATATACAGTAAAAACGAACGAACGGGCCCATCCGAGCACACCAGATGACAGCACGTGGAAGTCCCAGACCGGCCCATCTGAAGCCACCCACACAGAGCTCTGGCACCAGCACTGCGCGAAGCCGGGCCTTGCTGGGTGGGGGAGGGAGACGGCCAGCCTGCGTGTGCACATGTATGTGTGCACGCACACACACAGCGGGCGGGCGGGCGGGACGGTAGGCTCGCCTGGGTGCACAGGGAGCCGGGTGTGAAGAGCGCACTCCACGCAGACCCGAGTGGGGCAAGGCCGTCCACGGTCGGTTTCTCTCCCGAGCGCCCCACTGGGCAGAGCTGGTGCTTGGAGCAACCCTGAGCCTTAGGCCAGGCCGGGGCGTGCAGAGCCCACCCAGTGGACCGCTGCAGGCTGTCTCACAGCCAGCCTTTCCCAGGCTCGGCTGCGGCCCCGGGCACGGGGCCCCTCTGCCCTCCTGGGCCAGGGGAGCTGCACACACCGGCTGGCTCCACACCTTGCTGGGGCAGCTCTGGCTGGGGCACCAGGCCCGGGCACCCCCTTTGCCTTCCTGTTGCCAGGAGGTTTATCCTACAAAAAGGACGAGGTCCCTCAGAGGCCAAACGTCACACCGGGCCCCTGCTCCCCCAGGCTGGTCCTGCCACCAGAGTCCCAGACAGAACAAATCAAAGAGAAAGGCAGAGGGACGTTTAAGGGGGAGCTGAGGAAGCTACCAAGTCCCCCGGCAGGTGGCCGCTGGCTGAGCACAAGCCCCCCCACCTGGAAGGGCTGGAGGATGGACCAAAGCCAGCACCCAGCAGGCGCAGGGCTGGGCCAGAGGCCACCGGACACCAACCGCAGCAAACAGCTGCACCCCCACCCCGGGCTGGGCCCTGCCAGGCTGTGCGTGCAGATGCCGTGGTGCCCAGGAAAGGGCTGTGGGCAGGGCGGTGCCCGTGTGCCCCAGGCTCAGAGCAGGGGGCTGGGCCTCAGGGTGGGCCCGGGAGAGCCACCAGGGCCACCAACAGCAAAGGGCAGAAGGCGACAGCCACAAACAGGCCGCCGCGGCAACACACACAGCGTGGGCAGACAGGCACCGTTTCCTTCATTGACCGCGACTTGGGCCTCCTGCCCACCCCCCCACCCCCGACGTCTGTGAAGACAGCACTTCACCCACCAATACATTCTCTTTTGCAGGTTCTCTGAGTCCTCGGGCACCGCTGGTCCAGGCTGCCCATGGGCAGTCAGCGCCAGCCCTGGGCTCAGCCCTCAGGGCTGGGGGACCCCAGGCCCAGTGCCCAGCTAGAAAGCTGCTTCCTTCATTTTGTACCATTTACAAATATATCAACCGTAGAAAAAAGGGATCTGGAGGGGACAGTCCACTGTGCTCTTTGATCAAGGGTCGCCGTGGCCCCTCGGAGCCTGGTGGCCACAGGGGGTGTGCAGACAGGAGAGGCCGGGTCACACTGCGGGCTGGGGCAGCCCCTTGGCAAAGTCTGGGGAGCTGAAGGCTCCACGCCGCCAGCCTGGCCAGGTGCTCAGAGTGGGGTCAAGTCGGTCGCGCCAGGATCGGCACTGGGGCCACCAAGTGGAGGCCAGGGGGGACTGGTGGCGCTGAGGCTGCGGGGCGTCTCCATGGAGGTGGACCAACCTGCAGGCGAGAGGAGAGGAGGATCATGCTCGGCCACTCTCCCACGTCACCTGCTCCTACCAACCCGGAGCCCCACGGGGGCAGGGCCACCCCGCACCCCACCCCTGCGTGCTTGCGGCTTGAATGGCAGATTAGCTCAATCTGACCACCCTGAGGGCCTGGGGACTCTGCAGCCTTAGCCGAGTGAGTGCGGGCTGTCTGGGGCCAGGTCACCCCTGGGCACCTGGCAGCGAGCTGCAGCCTGGGACAGAATGCAATGCGTCACCGTGGGCTGCTGAGGCCTCTGGGTCTCCTGCTCTTGCCCCAGTTCTTTCTCGGGATCTGACCAGCCACCGTCCTGCCAAGAGCCCTACAACCAGGTGAGGCTGGAACGCGGCCGGCCCCACGGACAGGGGTGAGCGGTGCTCAGGGCAGCCGTATGGGGGCTTCTTCGAGGCAAAGGCAGAGGCCTCGGGAGCCTGTCCTGCCTTCCACAGAGGCCTGTTCTGCCACAAGACACTCTGTCCCCAGACTAGGTCTGTCCCCTGGCGCTTGGGCAAGTGTGCTGGCATAGGGAGCCCGTGACACACACCTGTGGCAGCAGCAGGATCAGCACATCCTCAGGGCTGCCCAACCCCTGGCCCCCAGCCTAACGCACTGCTGCACAGGGTGCCTGCGGACAGCAAGCTACGCGCTTCTGCGACTGCGACAGCCCCAGCCCCAGCCCCAACCCCAGCCCCGGGTGGAGAGTGACTATTTCCTTCGGAAGCTACGGCCTCGTGCAGGACCCAGCCCTGCCACGCAGCCCCCAGGCTCTGAAACACTGTTCTGGGTCTGCCTTTCTGGAAGTTTGACCTAACCCCAACACTCAAGTAGCACCTTCCAACCGTGACAGAGGCTGGGCCCACTTCGTAACATGTTGGGTGCTATTGCAATGGAGAGACAAGATTTGTCACAAGAAATATTCAAGGATGACGGGGAGTTTGTGTGGGGACATCAAAACAAGTGGCCAATCGCCCAAGCATGGTCCAGGTCAGCACGAGGGGAGAGGGCCAGGGCTCTGAGGCTGGGACCCCAGCCAGGCACCTCCCAGACGACCCCACGGGCCTTGCCCCGCGACGGCTGGAGTCCTGCAGGGAAGCCCTGGTCGCAGAGCGCACCGGCTCCCCATCAGCAGACATCCCAAAGTCACGCCCGGTAAGTGTGCCCAGAGCCTTCACAAGAGAAAGAGGGTCCCCCAACTTGTTTGCTTGTTTCTCTGACAGTCCTCTCGACCGCCAAAAAATACTTTGCTCTTCTGTAAAACATCCATGTGGGCCACCCTGGAAGAGGGCACCTCCCCGTCACATGGGGTGACACCTTCACATGGCCTCCTAACAGACGGCTCAGAATATGCTGGTATTCCAGAAGGTTCCAGAGCCAGGAGGGACAGGTTAGCAGCAGCGGAGGGCTTACAGCTGACAGGCAGCCCACGAGGGTACCATCTGCCAGGCACATGGCGACACCAGGGCCATGTGGGCCACGCTGACAAGAGAAGGGCGGGGAACGAGCGACCCATGAGTGAACGCCCTTGGGACGGGAAGCAAGACAGTCCCCACCTGGCAGCAGACAGCCCCGTGAAGACACCCCTGTGACAGACGGGGCCCCGCACAGCCTGGGGCGTGTTGTTTCCTCTGTGAACTTAAAGCCATGACCAGAAAACAGGGAGCGGATCCTGCGGAACGTCCCGACCCATCTACTGTGGGACCGCTGGCAACTCAGCTGTGCTGCCACCCGAACGAGGCCTGGCCTCGGCGGGAGCTGTCCCCTCGGCACATCCAGCCCAGTGTCTCCCTAAGGCCCCCTCCTCGGGGTGCTGCCTCCTGGGCGCTCGCCTGGGCTGAGTCTGTTCCAGGGACCCAAAAGGCTGGAAGAGGAGCCGACTAAGCCGCCTGGTGCACATGGAAAAACCTCTGGCTGCAAACGTCAGGGCCCCCAGGAGGCCACCTTTTAGGGGCAAAGGTGCAGCGGCCATTGGAGAGCTCTGGATCCAGACCCAGGCCCCCCACCTGGGAAGACATGGATGCGGGTGAAGCCCAGAAAGTCAGAAGGACCCCCACGGGGCGGGGGTGTGAGGGCTCCTCTCCCCAAGGACGCCTGTCACAGCCACCCCGCAGTGCATGTGAAAGGTCACGTACCCACTTACTCCTCTCCACCAACAGAGCCGGAGCCGGGCCCCCGGGCTGTGCAGAGGAGGGAGACAGACGGGAGCTCAGTTAGCAACAGACCGGGGCCTTCCACGGCAAGGGCACCGACTTCAGGAGCACGTGCTGCCCAGACACAAAATGCCCACGTGTGTGGACCAGCTGCCACCAGGGAGAAACAGCGTCTAGGCGGACGCTTACCGCACGGGGCACAGGCGGCTCTGCCTCCTCCCGCCAGCCCCGCCGCTGCACCCAGGGAAGGGCTGGGGCGGGTGGCTCCACCTCCGGTGTCAGGGGGCCAGGGGCTGGACAGGGCTGCCCGAGCTGGAAGCCCTCAGTGCCAGGGACCTAGGTTTTCACCATTTGGTGGATTTTCCCATCTACAGGGGACACAATTCACTCCATTGTGCTCTTTCCTCCAGGTGACGGCCAGGCCATCATTGAAACCGGGACACCTGTGTGTATGTGGCCATTGTCTTAAACACGCCGATGTGGATGATGTTCATGCTCTCACTGAAAACAAGCCACTAGAACAGAGAGTGCCACACATGGATTAAAAAGACACAGAAGCACAAGCCACAAAGCGTGCGCGTTCCTGCAGCTGGCCACCACACGCCCCCAACACTGCTGTGCCCTCCGTGGAGGTCAGACCTGCGGCCGTGCAGGACATAGGCTGTCAGGGCCGCTTCCCTGGACCTAAAGAAGGCCTAAGACCCTCACCAGGGGCTGGAAGCCTGAGACCCAGAAGTCCTGGGCTCACGTGCGCAGGGGCTGAGCCAGTGGTGGCCTGCAGGGCGGAGGGCAGAGGAGCTGCGCAGCCGGGCCCCGGCCTGGGCTCTGGGAAGGGGAGAGAACAGCAACACCCACTCCTGCCTCGCTGCTCTCGGCCCCGCAGGCTCCCGGCACTCCCGGCCTGTCCCCCAGGCCCTGGCCTGAAACGTGCTGCTGTGTCTGGGCAGATGGCCTGGGGTAGGAGGTGACCCAGAGGCCACTTCCCCTGCTTTCTAGCCTGGGAC